TATATTAATTCCCCCCCGCGAGAGCGAGAATTAACCTCAGATCGCGGGGCCCAATTTGATTCTGTGACAACTGAATCGTGTTACAATATAAATTTCCGACTCTTTTATGTCAGGTTATCAAATGCTTCGATGTAAGTTGAGGTGCATGAAAGCGAATGGCCGCGTCACTGACAACTCTCACTACCACTGCTGTCTGTGCGGAAGAGTTCTTGTTCGAAAAGTTCATCTTTATTGTCATTTGCAAGCTCATTCTGTGGGCAGCGTGCAGGAAATTGATGAAATCATGGATGCGAAAGATGACGCTGAGGAAGGGCCTTTGGAAGACACTGAAATGGATGAAGGTGATGAACATGACACCACTTTAGATGCATCGCAGATCACTGGATTAGACGGCTCGCAGCAAGATGGTGTGGTAGCTTTACCTGACGGCACGCAGGTACTGTGAACTGTTTGTTACTGGTCGTGGCTTCGCTACAAAGTGGTCTTGCTTCAAATCGATTCGCTTCAGTTAAAAGTCAGTTCTCTCTCTCTTTTTAAAAAACAGTTCGTTTCAAAACATTAGTGACCTTTAGATTCGAGGACTAGGCTAGAACGAAGACTTCAAGAACGGCAATTTAGTCCTGTATTCTCAAAAAAAAAAACAGACACCCCGGAAAGCTTATTCTTATTTTTATTTATTTATTTTTTTTCACCAGAAACGTTAACACGGTTATTTTTATCGAAGGAAGATAAACCATCTCCCAATTGCAAAAAGATAACACTTGTAAACTTGTTTCCGCCCACTGCGATATTCTCGCTAAAACCCATATGTAGTAGTACACTGACTACGACTACCCCGTTTCCCGCCAAAGCGACGCTGGTTCACGAGCGCACACTACTTAGCCTTGAAAGAATCCGTTCTAATGATTCTCTCTTGCTACACGATATAACCTGAGATCAGGCGTCATTTATCTATTTTTTTTTTTTTGAAGGCATGATCGCAGGCTATACACGATGAGGCCCGTTTAACCCGTTTTTTAGTTTTTCCGCGTATTTTAAAAGGATCGACACCTAGGAAAGCTTAATTTTCAGTAGAAAAGTTAGCACCGTCATTTAAAACTTCCCTTGAGCGTAAAATGATAAAATTTCCCAACATTCGATAAGTATGTGAAATTAGGGAATAATTTCACTCGCGTTTTGTCCTAATCCTTAAGGCTCGGGAAATTATTAGGATTTGGACAAAACGCAAGTGAAATTATTCCCTAATTTCACGAGTATACCATTTGATTACCTATCAATATCATGGGTGTTAGCAATACGTTAACGTTAGCAATCGAGGATTTTTGACTTGTTTATCCTGGATCGTATCGATCGATCGTGAACTCCACTCTCTCAAACGTTTAGAGCTAAAATTTGGCTTAAGTTTTCAGAATTTTTCCACAACATACCTCTAAGAATCCTTCTTGATGTGTTCTTTCGTGTGTTCAGGTTTTCTAAAGCGTCTTTTTATGCCCCGACATCTTCATTCATGACATTTTAAAACTTCCTCGCCATCTTGAAACGGAGACGCACGGCAGGTTGTCATGGCAATTTGGTAATTTCACATGTGAAATTACAAATTTCGCGCAAAAATTAAGGAGTAATTCGTCACCTATGATATTAGTGACATAACTTGTTTCCGCCACTATTTCAGACGCTTAAACCCAACCGTTGTAGAATGCGACGGCCATTACGTTTTCCCGCCAAAATGCCGCTGGTCAAAGTGCGCGTTCTAATTAGTGTTGAGAAAATCTCATCTTCCTAGTCCTCCTCGTCTTGAAAAATAAAATCCAACGGTCTCTATTGTCACAGGACTCACCGCCCTTGTCGCACGATTAATAGGGACGTTTAATTAGCAAAACAACAACTTCGCTCGTGCATCACAATTTTTTGTACATTTTTTTTCCCGTTTTTGCACGACTACAACGTGAAAATGCCTTATCTCGCGTTTTATGGAGGACGTAAACAAGCAACGACGAAATTTTATTTCTCTTCCCGAGCTTGAATATTGTCCCTTGAAATTCAGCTTCAGGAGGGTTCGCCTACAATTGACTAAGTAAGTGGGTAGGAATAATCGCTATGAAGACTGAAAGAACGCAAATTCACTTTTTAAGCGACGTTCTTGTCGCCGTCGCGTCGTTGAATCTTAGAGTCCCTAATTATACAATGAAATCTCGTGATAGAAGGCCCTTAAACTCCGCTATTTTCTATTTTTATTTTTTCCAGGTTGTGTTTGTACAGTCTATTCAGGGCAGTGAGACACTAACAGTGGTCCCACTTGATGAACAAACTAGCAGTCTACAGCTGTCTCAGCAGCCAGGGGATCCACAAGGCTCTCCTGTCGTCTCCACGGCTGCTGATTTAAGTTCGGGTCTTCAGGCTATGACATCTGTTTCTTCCAGCCTTGATCCATCTATTCAGCAGCAGTTACCGCAAGAGCTTACAGTCAAACAAGTCGAAGCTATGCTCAACCAAGGTTTGTGACGTCAACTCCTTCAAGCAATTGAGCCTTAGGGGTTTTTCAAATGATTACGGAATGACTCTTATTCTGGAACGAGGTCATTCCGTCTTCATATCTCTATCCAAACGACACTTCCTTCCCGTACAAGTCATTCCGGTTTTCAATCCGAATGAAATTCTTGTTCTGGTATGAAATTTCATTCTGTTATTATGTAAACTGGAAACGGACTTTGTTCCGGGTTGAAAATCGCAAATCGGGTAGTGTGGGGCGAGTGGCGCATGCGCATCTGCTCTGGCGCGAAAACCACGCAAGTCTAGGTCTGAAAGACAGAGAAAAAATTTAAGAGCAAACATCCACTTCTACATCAAAAGGTGTTTGTATCCCCATCATTTCAATCTTAAAGGCTTGATTCGCATAAAAATAAGTACTCTTCTAAGTTCAATATTTCGAGGCTTGAGTTCATGTCTTCACTCTGGAGCGAAACTCACACCGCAATGAAAGTTATTCCGGTATCATACATACAGATCCTCTCTCACTTTGCGAGTTCCGACTCACTGTACGAACGCTAGTCTGCGAAAACAGCCATCTCTCTTCGCGTCTTGCCGCCAGGGATGTTTGCAAAACGACCTTAGGAACGAAGCGGTTGGGGAGTCGGCTGTTTGCACAGGCTACATGAACTCGTAAGATTTCCTCGCGTACTATCTGCCTGAACAACGAACAAGGTATTAGCTTGTTCGAGGTAAAACAAAGGTTATTTAAGCAATAGACCACACTTTCTATGGGTTTACCGGCGTGATAACCCACGCGGGATGTTGGGAGAACATGAGAAAAGCTTGTAAATCACTCGCCTTCGGCTCGTGATTTACAAGCTTTTCTCGTGTTCTCCCAACATCCTAAGTAGGTCACGGTTATCACGCCGGTAAACCCATAGAAAGTGTGGTCTACTGCTGTTACAAAATAACTTTCAGTAAAACGGAGTCGTTTAGGTTTTCTATGAGTTTACCGGCACAATAAACCATAGGTTTTTAACCAATCAGAACGCGCGTACTATCTTAGTTATTTTATAATTATGTATTTGTGATTATATATCTTAAATTATTTTTTTTAATTGGTGCTTTTGACCAATTTTTTTTAGGTCGAGAAAATGCTCAGAGTGCTTCAATTGAAGCCGGCACTTCTCATAGCAATCTTCAAAATCTAAATGATGAGGAGGACAGAGCTTTGCAAGCTGCTTATGAACCTCAACAACCAACTGATATTGAAATGGGACATGATATGGACAGTGCCCAGAGGCGCGTTTCCAAGCAAGAGCAAGATGAAACAATGGATTATGAACCATGTCTTCAGGTCACTGATATCCAAATGTCAGCTACAGGCATGTCTGATACAAATGCACCTGACATTGCCAGCGGAGAACAAAGTGCTCTTCCACTTCCGCAAGTCACAGGAACTTCTGGTGTTCTTACGAGTCAGGCTGCAGAGTTGAGCTCAACAACGACAGCGTCTGTCTTAGCGACGTCAACTCATACATCAGAAGCGCTACAGGTAGTCGCGGATCAGGATTCGTCTAAACTGGTCATGATTAATCCACTGAGCAAACCACTCCTTGACGAAGCCCAAAGTAGCTTGGCAAATGCCGCACAGAAAACTCCAAAATCCACTCGCCAGGATTCGCTGTTGTTATATGATGCTGCAACTGCGCCGAAAGACGACGATCACATTTTCAAGGTCTTGCTGAATAACCTGTCTCCTGCTACAAGCTGCTTTAACCATCCATCTGTTCTTAACGAAAGAAACAACCTAGACATTCGCAGATGTCGGAATACATTTTGTGACTGTAGGTTGTACCACTGTCCGCTGTGTACCTGTCTGCCAAATAAACCCGGTAGAATAAGAGAACACTTTAAAAAGATACACGCTCAAGACCTTGTTGTCAGATATCAGGGTAAGAAGTTCATTTCCTTAACTCCGTAGTATGCTTGAGTTGGATATCAACTTAGCCTAAAACAGGTCAAAAGTAACCTCGCACATAAGTATTAAAACTTGTACAAATATAACCGCGCGCCACCATATTTGTTTCCTGTATCTCGCGCGTAGAAAAGTGGAGTGGGATACGCGCGCGATAAACTCCCCACGCGACAGAACTAGTACTGGCCACCTTAAAAGAGGAAGAAAAAACATGCACCTTATTTGAGTGTTAATGTATTTAATTGGGGACACTATTTTTTACGTCCCCTACTGGAGACGGGACCGCCGTTTTACGTGGTCATCTGAACCACGAGAAAGGTCTAACCGCTTGCAGTGCAAAGGGAGTACCTTCATTTCTCAGTTATTTTGACCCTGAGTATTGGTCCGGCCCCGGGAATCGAACCCGCGACCTCCCGCTCCGCAGTCAAGCGCTTAACCGACTGAGCTAACCCTGCCGCGGCATAGATGGACAAACGTAAAGATGACTGAAACGGATTGCAAGTGGTTGTTGAAAACTTGCCAGCCTAACAGTTTTTCAAAGTTCATTGTTGTTGTTTGTAACATTTGACATAATGCATGGGAGACATACTTGTTTGACACGAATCTCTGGTTTTGTCATTCGCATATAATTTCTCAAGTTCTGTAGAATCCAAGGACGAGTAGTTGGCATAGAGAGAAGTGTGACGTCACGTTACCACGGTAACAACATTTCTGGGTGACAACAATAGGGAGCTTAGGCAACAACGACGGCGACGGTAACGAAAACGGAAAAAAAAGCGTTAGGATTGGCAAAACAACAACTTTGCACGTGCATCACGCTTTTTTGTACATTTCTTAGCCCTCTTTGCACGACTGCGATTTTCACGCGCCCGCTTTATGAATTAGTTGAACACGACACAAAAATTTTCTTTTTCTTTTTCTTTTTCAAAACTTAGATACTGTCTCCTCGGATTTAACCCCAGAAAATTTCACCAACATTTGTACTAATAAAATGAAAATAAACAAGATCGATGAAGTTCGAAACAGTGCGATTTCACTTTTTAAGTGACGTTTTCGGTTTGTTCTCATCCAGAAATTTTACTACAGTGGCAACGTGACGTAACGACTTCTCTCTGTTGTTAACTAGACACCGGTGGCACAGCCACTGTAACTTTCTCTGACATTATTAATTGTAGGTTATCAGATGTTACGTTGCAAACTTGGCTGCACTCGTCCCAGTGGAACCAAAGTGTCCAATTCCCATTATCACTGCTGTCTTTGTGGAGTAATCTGCATGCGGAAGTCTGGTGTTTATGAGCACATGCGGATCAATCATTCTATACAACCCGTGAAGAGAGAGAGCCTTTCCCAGCTCTCACAGCAACAGAAAGAAGCCAAATATGACAACCCTGCGGTGCCTAAACCAGTGATAGTTCAAGTCCCTTCAGTCCAATCAGTTGCTGTGGGGTCTGGTACCCAACAGAGTGCTCTCCCCACTCTCCACACGGTCCAAACAGAACCCACGGAATCTGGTACCAACCAACAAGTTGTTTTACCCGCTATTCAAACAGGATCTGTGGAGCTCGGGAATCAACAAGTTGTCCTGTCCACGAGCCAATCAGAAACTTTGGACTCTGGCTCACAACAGGTCGTTCAACCTATGGCGCCTTCAAGTCAAGGCGTGGTCACCACAAGTTCCAATCCACAGACAGTCACTGTTCAGTTACCGCAGCAAGGGTATGGCAATGCACAGGGACAGCAACAACTTGTGATAGTCATGCCTCAGCAGATGAATCAGACTCAGGTTCAGTCCCCTGTGCAAGCCCAACAGCCTATTGTCATAGTGATGCCTCAGACGGGTGGGGCCCAGGTGACACAGCCTATTGTGGTCCCAGTACCTCAAGCAACAAATAACTGATGATTTAAATTTTCCTCTTACTTGTCCAAAGCAAGACTTAAGAAGGCAAGACTTGGCAAGGCTCTTCAAGTGTGACAACATCGACCAGTAAGGTTTCTGGGAAACTGCCCAACTACCCTTCCCTAAGCCAACATAAACACTATGACACGCTACAAGTTTGGACCGATCAAATATTAATGAAATCAAAGAGTGCTGTCTTCTATTCTCTCCACAACTTGGACAGAAAATCACGATTTCCCAATTTGGTACAACTGTGGCTTAAAGCATCGCTGAAAAGCGCGATTTACCGAACAAAAAAACAGTCTCCTAAACGTTTATCATTTCACAATAACTCCGTAAAATTTTATCTAAATCCCCGCTAAAACAGCTGAGATGTAAGCGTTTTAAGAATAGTAACACAAGCAAAATTTTTCCTTGTGGATTTATTTACAGATAGATGTCCCCCTTGGCTTTAAGCTAGAGCTGTTTAAAATGCGCGACAAACAAATGCTCTCTGAAGGTCGCTCTTGGGGAGACTTCTGCTTTACACAAGAGCTTGTTCGTTTCACGTTATCTCTGTAAAATACTCACTTCAAACACGACAGCGTTTAACTTAACTGAAAATGGAAAGATATAACTCTCAAAGAAAAGAATGATGTACAGAGCAGTGTTTAGGAGCTAGTAGCAGAAATCTAACGTCGGACATAAAGAAAATGTATTAAAATGTAAATTTTTGTGTCTGACGGAAGTGGACTTTCCTCTGATAGGCTCTTCAATCAAATAGTAACAAACAAATAGACCTCTTTCTTTTTTGGGGGGGGGCGGGGGTCACTATTCGCAGTCTAATGTTAAATCATTTTACTATGAACGGAAACTCCCCGCCCCCGACAAAAACAAAAAATGTGTGGGTTTTCAAACGAAAAAGTTTTGGTGTGGAACGCAGACGTATTTGGCGCTGGTGCTTACTATTTTCCGCTGAGAAGTAACCGGTTACCAGTCGTTTCGATACAACTTAATTCAGTCGAGGTGTAAATAGTTTCACATCCTTGGCTAAAAGAATGAAGAGTATTCCCCCCAAATTTTTCTTTTTCACGTGCAAACTATACTCAAAGTGAACCAAATTTATGTGCAATTTGGGTCCGTACCAAAACGTATCACTTAAAAAATTATTTTCATTGTTGAAAGTGGAGCACAGGGGGCACAAAACTATAATCTGCCATAATCGATTATCAGTTTAATAGTTGGGTTAATCTGATTATTTCTGATGATATGATTCTGACACAGACACTATGACTAAGACTAAGCAACACCTTAATGTAGACTTTAGAAGTATTTAAGCCAGCACATCTAACAGCTGCAGCCTCACAGCCCAACACCTAAACAGGCTAAAAGCCTTGCCTAGTCCCTGTCTGGCATTTTCTCAGGCCTTCTTGGTGAATTCATGAAATGCTCTGAATGGCTCGGGCTACTAGAGTGTAGCTGGTTTTATTTTCCCAGTGAATACACCACTGCTTTTTCCATTCTTTGATTTTGTTTAAATATCACTGCACTGTTAAGTTTGAAACTTCAGTTTAACCGACTGCACGCCTTAACTTGGGTATTGAGTATCAAAATGCGGACCTTTGGGGCCTGTGGGGAAGTGCGAACGCACCCCGTGCACCCCCCCTGGTTACGGGCCTGAGGGGAACCAAAGGTCAAACATCTCAAGTGATTGACATGAAACTTTGCAGGCTGTCAATTACGTGGTATCGGATTGGCTGCAGGAAAAGAACGCTGATTTTTAGGAGTTTTATTTCGGGGTTTGCCGCTTTGGATTTCACTGATTTCGCGCGGATTCCAATGTTTACGATTGGCAGAAAAGTTGAAATAATTGTTTCTTTCGTCATCCGTTTTTATGGGATCATTTAGCAGCTATAAGTTATTGATTATTCCGAGGCTAGATGGTGTTATTCATAATTCCCGATTTTCTAACTCCAAATATTCATTATTCATTTTCTTTTAAACATTCATTATTCATTATTCAGCCTCGACCCCCGACCACGTACTTACTATAAAGGGTCTACAATGCGGTCTAGTAATTTCCATAACAAGGCATTCGAGTTGGTTATCACTTAAGTCATGCCGTATATGATAATTTATCATGTTTCGTAAATAAATACAAACACCGCCACCGCATCTCCCATTCACCGGACGATATGTTCCCGTTAAAGAAATGAATGTGATATATGTATATGATATAAATCATATAAGGACTGCAGAAATGAAATCAAATGGAGAATGATCCTCGCAGTTGTGATTTTATTCTATCGCGTCGTGTTCTTTTTAAATTATTTATTTGATTTGCCATGTCTTGTCCCAATCTTGTGAGGTCATTTTCCCGCCAAAAAACGTTAAAATCGAAAAAACAAAAACATACTACTTTTTTTTTTGTAAAGGTTCTACCATTCTGCAAAGTTTGAGTTCAAACCAATAGAAAATGCAAAAATAGTTCCTATGCACTTTTATGCGTCCTACATGCCCACCCAACACTCACGGTGAGCTGAAGTAGAATTTGTAAGCTGCACCAGTGCCCGAGCAGTAATGCCAAAGCTGAACCGCGTATTTTCTTTTCTTGGAATGCCCATGGTCTTGGGTAGTGACAGTGGGCCTCTACTCGACGAACAGACCTTTCTGAACTTCAGCAAGTACCTGGGCTTCAAGCAGGTGCGCAAGAAAGCCAAAAACCCGCTGGCCAATACTGAAGCAGAAGAGTTTAGCAGGCAATTAAGAAGTTCTACCACATATGCCAAATAACAGGGCAAGTCTTCCAGCACCCCGATTTGTACTCGGTTATTGAGTGACGCCACATAGGACCACCAAGATGGCACTGGCTGAACTGATGTTCCCTGGACGCAAGTTCCGCACGAGGTTGCCTGCTGGGGCTGGGATTTTGAGGAACTAATCCATCACGACCTAGAGAAGAAAATGCAAATGAAGGCGCAGGCTGAAGGAAAGAAGGGCGAGAAAACATCGGACATCCAGGTCAGGGATGCAGTACTTCTAAAACAATAACCCAGCACCAAAACCACACCACCTTTTGACAAAGAGTCCCTAGAGGTGCAGCACCGAAAGGGAACACAAGTGGTTGCCAAGAGGAGAGATGGCAGATCAATGGCACATTTTATGAAGGTAGACTACCTGACTTCTGAGGAAACAGGCAGCTGGAAGCCCAGGCCAGATGCCAGTCAACAAGAACCGCCTAAGCCCGATGCAGACCGTCACTGAGCTACCACGGATGGAGGTACAGTTACCGGAGTTTGACTACTCGAACACTCTGGTCAGAGGGAACTCGTTCAAAGAGCGCCCAGCAGAGCCACCTCACCCCTGCTTCAGGAAACCAGGGGACGGACCAGGGGACGTAGCTTTAGACCTCGAGGGAGCGCGGGCGAAAATCTCAGGTAACAAATATCTGGAGCACGTGTTACCTGACAAAATCTAGTCAATGATTAGTTGTTATTCTGAGGGAACTTTAGTAGTGTTATTAGTTGAAGTCTTGTAGGCCATTAGTCAGCCATATGTCACCTAGGCATTTACTCCATCGAGGGGGAAGGGGATGTTTATCGTATAGGCGGCTCATGCGGACTACTATCACTACGCTATGAACACTGCCGGGACGATCTTAGGCTAAGTTACATATATCACAAAAGCTTAGCGGACATGTATTGTAAAACTAAGCTGTTGATTCATTAAATTCGTCCCGCACCGAGAGTTTTCGATTACAGTCTATCGACAGACTCGTAACATTGCAAAAAGGGTTCGCCTTTTTGGAATAAGTTTTAAATACAGTTGTAACGTTTATTATCTGTTGTTCAAAACTAGCGTGCATTTAGCGATGAATCGCACAACGCGCAGCGGGAAGTTTGTGCAGACTGCAAGATAACTTACAGAGATTTATAGGGGGAAATGTTAAATAAGTTCAGTATACCAGTATATTAAAAATACACCAGCTTAATGACTTCTAAATTCAAGAATCAAAGGCAAAAAAAGACTTGTTCAGTCAAAGTTTGTGATACTCCATGCACTACGGTGCATAATCTACGCGCTAGAAAGAAAAGAAGGAAAAAAACTTGCTCAAGCAAACGGTAAGGTCACGTCTCACACTGTCACGAGCTCACGAGTTGCGTCTGACCTGTAAACACTTTATTTCAAACTAATGACTTTCCGTATCCAGTGGGAAGGCTTGCATAAGAACATGGATCTTTTCCCTTAATAAGGGCTTGCAAGAACATTTATCTTTCTCGGTATAGAGTAAACCGATTTTAAATATGTTTCAGTTTCTCAATTGCTCTATAGGAATAAGACCTACATTTTGAGAACTTGAATTACATGAAACATGAGCCACGGAAATTTGGTCTGCGGAAATTATTATTATTTTTTAATTTATCCAAAGTTATTGCCATACACGATTAGCGACGATGAATCACAGACGCCCTTTCTACGATTTTTTCTGAGAGGAGGCGGAGGGGGGCGGGGTCTGTACACAGGATAGGTCTTTACAAAATGCGCATGGCATGCTTGCGGACCATTTATAACTGGCCTCTTCAACGGAGGGCCGTATGGTAGTATTTTTTTTTTTCTGACTTAAAGTGGTTTAAAAGTTAAAAAAAGAACATAACATTAAAACAATCGTTTTTCTCAGCAGCAACCCAAGTGGACCGTGGAAGGATCATATAAATCGATACTGAAAGGATGTCTGGAAACAGTTCTGTCAGAGTTGTACCTTTTGCCTCCATCCATCGTCACCTCAGCGACTTTTAGCACGCTCATTTTACTACTAACACTGGTAGGAAACAGCCTTGTGTGCTTCAGTGTGTATTTTTTTCCTCGTCTTCGAAAGCCGACTAACTACCTGATTGTTTCACTGGCCGTCAGCGATCTGCTAGTGGGTGCTTTTTCGCTTCCGTTCAGGATCGCACAGACTGTCAATGGCGAAAGGTTTCCTGAAAGCCTGGGTCTTGCTGGCTGTCGTTTTTGGATATGGGTCGATATGCTCTGCTGTGGCGCTTCCATTTTTAACCTTGTTAGCATCAGCATCGAGCGTTTGATGGCGGTGAAATGGCCACTCAGACATCGTACAGAAATGACGTCTAAGCGAGCTTTTTTGATGATTCTTCTTGTATGGATCTTCGCACTCCTGGTTGCCTCTCTTGTCCTTGTGAACTGGAGCGGAAGGGAAACAGTCGTCATAGCGCCGCAGTGCAGCGTTGCAAGCAGGGCTTACGTCACCATCGTGGCGTTTGCGTGCTTTTTTGTTCCCCTTGCTATTTTGCTTTGCAACTACGCCTGCATACTCAAGACCGCCATTGGCCGCGCACGGAAGATGCAGAAGGATAAAGATACTAATGCTGTCAGCTTCACTTGTAAGCGAGGCACAAACAAAGCTGATACCACTGGAACTCCTACCACGCCCTCGAAGGACATTTCGATAGGTATTAACCGATGCGTTGATCCCTTAGCTGACAGTCACCGGCGGCCTACAAAATCGACAAGGTTGCAGTCCATGAGACAGCTGAAAGCAACCAAGACAATCGCCATTGTATTAGGTGTCTTCATCTTTTCATGGTTTCCGTTTTTTGTCATATTTCTCACATTCAATTACTGCACACACTGCTTCTCGCCAACCCGTATTCCGATACAGCTTAAATCGGCCATAGTCGTGACTTTCGTCTACGTCTTGCCCGTGAGCAATTCAGCAGTTAACCCCATTATTTACACATGCTTCAACGAAACATTTCGCTCTGCATTTGTGCAAATTTTTAAAAAAATAAAGCGGAAATCAGATACAGTTTAGATCTTGGCCGAATCAAATTGATTTGCGCTGGGATGCATCACTTAGTAGTAAGTCTAGTAGGATATATAAAACTCACTTATTCAGTCAAAGCTCGTAAACAAAGATAAATGAGTAGTCGTTTACTGAACTGTTACAATTAGACTCCGGATCCATTGTTGCTTTAAAAGGAGTGACATACACAATGCAAGTCCACGAGCACTTCATGCCTAGTATTGTATGATCACATTATTCTAGCGTTTTGACTAAGTTTGAATGCAGATTTTATCCTTGCCGTGAAAGAACGTCAACAATAAACTATCTGATGCAATGTTGTAACAGAAGATTAAACACCTTCGACACACTTTTTAGAATTTCTACCATTCAAAGCTTAATTATAGAATACCTTGCTAGCTGTTCAGTATATTACTTTCCTATCTGCACATAATCCTCTTGGACTGAGAGCTTTTAACTAATTATATAAAAAGAACAAGAATTATTGTATCGTCAAACAGGTAGCTTCGGAGAAAATGACCCTGAGCCGGAAGTTCTCCAGCTCCGCACAGTTTGAAGTAAGTGCTGTCTTTGCATTTCGGTTTTAGAGTAAGAGTAAGAGTAAGAGACTTCAGTGGGGAGATATTGAAGTTGAAAATGATTCTGTCACTATAGGGCCAGAGCTCTCGGTATAGCTCTGGCCCTGAGGAAGGCTAATTTGTTAGCCGAAATATTGGCCTATAATAAATCAGCCCTTTGCCGTAGTGCCAGCCCTGCATTCAGTTTTGTTTGTTTTTATTTTTTTGTAGTGAAATCTGCCAGGTTAATAACTGCAAAAGGCGGGCTTTGTACTTATTAATCGTAAAGAGCGGTACTTTCAAAGTTGTACTTTGTAGTTATTAATCGTAAAGGACGTCATTTACGCGTGAAGAGAGGATTTATTGTCATTCAGTTATTTTGCTTTCGCTTATAAAAATATGAAAAGCCAATGTAGATATCATTTATTCTTTAGTCTTAACTTCTTTAAGCCGTAAACAACCTGTTGATTTATTGAGCGTAAACTTATTTGTCAAGTCATAATTGTATTTAGTCTTCAAACTGTAATCAACCTGTAAGAAGCCGTTATCCACCTGTGTAGCTTTTGAAAGTAATCAATGTTTCAAAGCAAGCTTAGCTTTCCACCAATTGTCTTGTAGAAATGATTGTTGTGCTCTGTAAATTGACTCGTTGAGTTGTGATGTACTAAGATCTGTATCGTTTCGCTTGGTTAGGCTTAAATACGAGTGCTTTGTAGGAGCTTCTTCGGTTACATCCAGGTCTATCTAGTCTGGTTACGTCCTGGTTACATCGTCGTTGCATCTAGTCTTGGTTAAATTTTGGTTGGTTTTGTTTTGACTGTACCCGCAGCATAGTCTTGGATTAAACCTCTACATTGAAGGCAAGTTCTGTTGTAATCATTGTCTCAAGGGTATTCAGCAGGCGTAAGAGATCCCGTGCCTTCCCGCAGCCAGCGAGTGTCCCCAGGAAAAGCCCTTTCCCAGAGAGTTTTAGAGTTTTTCCCCGTCCGTCAGTTTACCCTTTTGTGAAGGCAAAACCTGTTTCCACACTGGTGTATAAGTGAAAAAACGTGTTTTCACATACGATTAATAATTATGTCAAACATATTCGTGAAAACCTAGTAAATAATCGTGAAACTTACGACTATTAACTATGTTTGGCAGGCGTCGTAGTTATTAATCGTAAGGTTGTTAATTTGTATAGGGAATAGCATGATTTGTAGTGATATTTGGCATAAATACCACGAGTGATATTTCGAAATTGTTATACGTAATTTCACCGGAGCCGTTAGGCGAGTAAAACAGCGGCGCCCAACGACCGTTTTCTGGGAAATATCTGTTCGGAGCCCTCTAGAATGGCTAAAATTTTCGAGAGCCCAAGAACAGCTAAAAATTTCGAAAATGTTTCTGGTGAAATTTGAGACAATTTTGAAATACCACGAGTGGTATTTATGCCAAATATCACGTTCAAATCATGCTATTATAAATTGTTTATACTATTACCCGCAAAAGGTTTGTAATTTTCACATGTACGTATTTCAAATTAAGCTGAAATACCACTGCTCTAAGCCAATCAAATTGCAAAAATTTCTCATGTAGTAGTATAACTCCAGTAAAGCTAACTCAAAAGCTAACGACCGCCATTACAGAAAAGAAAACACACTCAAAGTCTTTTTTTCAAGGTCCCTGTTTTCACAAAAATACATCACAGAAAACTTTTCGAGAGGTCAAAGTTTCCATTCAGCTTCTTTTTTGATCTATTTTTTATCTAAGAAATAGAGAATACTTCATGGAAAGTGCTGGCGTACAAAGCACTTTCCATGTGGTATTGTGTTTATTATATACATACTGAGTCATTCATCATTTTGCGGGCCTTTTTATTTTAAATCTTTCAAAAATGCTAAAATTTGCCGCTACATACTTACCGCAAAATGACAACGAAAACGAAGTATCAGCTTTTTAGTAAAAACGTTTGTTAAAAACATAAATGACGGTGAGGATATGAGGTTTAATCCAAGAACTATAAGTAATCTTAACTGTTTGTTCTCAATGCACAATTGAAAATGAGTGAATTTAAGTAAAATGGCCGGTTTCAATATAAGCTTAAGCTTAAATGAAAGGCAAAGTAGCTCCGACAAAAAGCACAACAAAAGCTTACGTCTCGTTCTGTTTATCCCTTTCCGCTGTTGTTTTACCGGCTCTCTACCGTATTTTTTTATCGACAGTGAAACAAACGAAACTATTCCACTCCATTTCCGAAATGTTTTTCACTTTTTTAGCGAGAAAAACTCCTTGAGTAAAACTTTTCTCGTTGATAAATGTGTGCGAAGCGGCGCTGCAAGCTGCAATAAAAGGCGGGAATTTTGGCGCGAAACTCCTACACCTCTGTGGCTTCTGATTGGACGTATCATTTTTCTCACAGGTGAAAAAACATCGTTCGCGATTCTGATTGGACGTATCGTTTTTTTCACGTGTGAAAACCATCGTTCGCTCCTCTGATTGGCTATAACTAATTTGCGTACGAAAATTTACGACATAGCTTTTTGGTGAGTATTTCTCAGTATGTATATAATAAAGCTAGTTCTTTCGCTCTATTTTTTCTATAAGCTGACATCGCGAGCGGGCGGCGTCTATGAGTTTGCTGTGCACGAAATTATGATAACCGATATTTTTCAGTTCAAATTACTCTTCCTTTGAATTTTAACTTGGAGGGAGACATCTTAATCGTTCCCAAATGTAACTACAATGAATTAGTTCAGAATAACTCACTATCGCAGTTTTTTTCTCGCTTAAATCTTTGACAATTTTAACGCGTCGTTGGTAAATACTGGCGCGAATTACACTTGCCGTGAGAAATATTATTATTAATGTTGACCACATTCTTGGACAAAATAATGTTTTTCAATTTTAGTTTAACTCAAAAGCTTTCACTATTTTTTCATTGCCAGACGGACACGCATGATTTTTCTCACCTAAAAATAAAACAGTCAGCACAATCACATATTAAAGGAGATCTCAAAGGTTATTTCTGTTGGTGTACAAGGTAAAACGTTTTCGAAAAGACAGCGACACGATGTTCTACTTGTTTTATTATTTTGGCTAGGCGCGCTCGAATTTAAATACTGAAATTTCTATTTTTCTGTTGCCTTAATATTTTCATAAATCAAAAATATGAATTTTCTGAATTTCCATGGCACATATTGAGGCATATTTTCCTACCATAAGACCATAAAACAATAAAAAAAGACAGCAAAATCGATCCTTCTCTCCGCCGACGGCGGATCATTCACGAAAACAACCACGCGAGGAATAAGCGCTTTCAACTTCCGGCGTTTCCGACAGCCAATCAGATCTTGTGGCATTGTTCCAACAGCCAATCAGCATTACGGCCAAAATCTGGCCGTGCTGAGGCCTCAAATGTAATAAATGACCCTAAATGTAATAAAGGTCCGAATTGTAATAACTTTTGGCCCCAAATGTAATAAAGGTCCTAAATGTAATAACTTTTGGCCCTAAATGTAATAACGGGTCCTTAGTGTAATTCTTTCAGCTCTTATTATGCTTATGGTCATAAGAAGATTTCATAGTGTTGGCTTTCAGCCTTATTACAGGTTAACTGAGCGCATGAATGTGTCTAGGGAAGAATCAGTAAATACACCAGGCAGATCCCCTATATAGCCATTTGAGTAACAACTTATTATTATTCATGTGGTGAAATCCTGGAAAAAAAAGTTAGCATAGAAATTCACTTCAAGAAGTACTCCTGGTAGAAATTAAAATCAAAGTGAGGAAGTCCGAAAAACTATCAAGATATACTGCCCTCAATATCTTGCTGTTTATATATAACTTCGTGTTCACAGCATTCTGTATGGACCGACCGACATACTCTTTTGGAAAATGATTTTAAAAAAAAACATTTCTTTTTTTGGCGCAACATTAAAAAAACCCATAGGCAAAAGTAGTTAATTTACTACGACTGTTTCTAATGCACATTAATACTTTTCCTTCAATTACTAAATTACTACTGTCTTTTGAAAACTTTTGTGTAGATTCCAGTTGTTTATAACTCGCGTTTTACGATGTAGGGATCATGTAGTAGGAAACGCGATCGAGACGTAGTTAATTTATAAGTGTTTCTCTTACTTCTTGAGCGCTCTAGCCGCTTTCTAAGTTTATGAATATCTATGAAGACTTCATTAGGGCGAAGAAAGTGAATCGCCCTGGGAATCGCCAGGTGGCTATAAAATTAATATCGCATCAGACCGTCGCATGTTTCAGTCAGGGACTTTATCAAGTTTGGGGTTGTTATACTACATACATGCAGTATACTGTTAAGACTTCCATTACATCTAGGGCTAAAACCTATTACACATATAACATTATGAGACGCTTTATTACATTTAGGGCCAAAAGTTATTACATTTAGGACCTTTATTACATTTAGGGCCAAAAGTTATTACACTTAGGACCTTTATTACATTTAGGGTCATTTATTACATTTGAGGCCTCAACAGCCGTAACGAGCACAAACATGAGAGAGTTTGTATCAGGCCCAATTTTAGCGGTAGCCGTTAGAGAGAATGTATGAGAACCGCTAAAATTGGGCCTGATCTCAGGTTAAAATTTATTCAATTCCATTCTTGTCCAGTATTCCCCTCCATAGCGCAGCTCCTAAGGTACTGTGGGAAAAGCCGGAAACATATAACCCTGGAAAAGGTCATTTCTAGGCGTTGCACGAAGAGCTGAAAAGCGACCCTGATTCGTGTCCCTTGGTTTGGGCGCCATGTTGAAAATTTGGATGACGTCATCATATATCCAGTCCTGCGGGTTGTGGCCTGGACTGCACAAGTCTCGTAGCAGTCTCGTAAATTTCGGTAAATTCCGCACAATTGATTTCCCGGGCGGAAGGTTACTTAAAACTCGCAGGCTTATAGAAATTTGCTTTTATGCTGGCTGATAAAACTTTGTAAGTACAGTAGAAGCCCGGAGTTGAAGCTCTACTAACAAACAGAACAAACACTCTAAGCGGACAACGCTACTTACGGCCGTCTCAGCACAAAAACCTGTTTTACTCAACTCCCATACAACATTTAGCCTTTACAGAGACGTTGCTTTATTTTTCTTTTCGATAATCGGAGAGCGCTAGTGGTCACTTAATTCCCCGCCGTGTTTATTTTTATCACGCACGGACGCTGAACGTTTAAGGGGAAATAGAGGGTCTGTGAACAGGCTAAGACAAACCCTTTACTTTTTCATTATCGTAACCTGCCAGCGCCATTTCGCGTCCATAGGGTGTTCGCTTACGAGAGCTTCTTCTGTTTTATAGATGTGTGCCAGTGAACAAATATAGATTTCTTTAACTAATCTGCTTGCTTAGTTTCCACTCGAAACCAGGCTAAATTTGACTCTTTAAGTACGATAATATCCTTTATATTTTAGAGATTGCGTCTTGCCCGTTGGATTTCCAAAAAGCAGTGAAAAAGTATCTTGAGAAAAGTGAAAATCAGGCTTGTACTTTACTGCTAGCAGTTTTCACTAATGTTTTAAAAGATCCCATCTTAGCAGGTTAGAAAGACGGCCATCACACTCTTGAAATACCCCATGGTGTTGATCGGGGTCTATACAGGTTTAGGTGACTTCATGTCATAAGTTATAGTCCTTTGAGCGGTGCTTGGATAAATCACAAATAGAAAAAGTTGAACTGATCCTAAAATAACGCCAATGCCATTAGGGACCTGAAATACAAAAACAACAGTCAGTACAACAACAACAACAACTTTGTTCTTTGTACAAAAATACAAATCAAAAGTTGGATAGTTTGCCCCGCAAATGGCTGGAAAGCTAGTCGTGGCGGGGTAAGGCAAGTACATGAATAACACAATTATCTACTAAAAACAAAAACCTTAAACTATTAGAAAGCCTTGCAGATAGCAACTAAAAATAAATAAAACACGCTTACTGACGTACAATGCATTAAGGCAAGGAGTCAATGACTCTTAAATGATAACACAGAAAAAGAGGAGCAGATCATAAAACCTTTAGCAAGTGTATCTATGTACACTTGTGGGCTTATTTGTCCTTGCCCTAGCCTTAGCCTGGTGCCAGGCTCCGCAGTGGGGGGAAAAGGCAACAAAAAGGGGGTTAAATGGGAAAAACATCGGCCGTTTTTTTCGCCTTTTTCCCCCAATAAGGAGCCTGGGACCAGGCTATCCTAGCCTTTGAGTGAATGTGAGGCTTTTGCCAAAAACCTCCTCCCTTTTCTTCTTAAAATTTTGCTTAAAAAAATACTAGTTAGCATAAGAAAAACACGATTTACATAATAAAGCAGGCAGAGTTGTATCAAAACAAGGTCAACTCCAGCCTCATTTCCACCTGTAACTGTAAACTGGGCTATTGCCCAGAAGGGGTTCGGACAGCTCATGAACCCTGCATACTGAGAAAATCTTATCTTATATCTTTAAGTTAAAAAAAAAGAAGAATTACCAAAGGAAAAGACAACCAGGAAGCCTTGAACGTGGTTTAATAAATTTATCTCATACCCTCATACAATCTAACATTACACTAAAGGAGCAATCACTTCCATAAACCCTAATTTTATAGTATTTCTGTGGAGTTTTCAAAACAGTTAATTCAAGCTAGTCATTACAAACCAGTGTAATTAAAACATGATCGCAGCTCTTCTTTCTGACTTCTTTTCCTACTAAATTGGCTTCCCTTCTTTTTGATTTCCCACATTACTAAACCTTAAAAAGCAATAACGAATACTACACTGTCTATGCCTCATGAGGTGTCCAACCTCCTTTGTAGCCATAGAATGTAGACTCGACCAACTACCAACACACACATTTTTTCCCAGGAGTTTGGCAGCTAGTGCGAAGCATGACAATCCAATCCAATCACTTCCCCCACAGTAAAAATCACGGATAAAAAATAATGTTTTGACCGATCTTCGATCATTTTCAAGTAAGTAAAAAAGTTAAAAGAATTATCATATATAACTGTAAGGTGTAAAAATATGTTAAGAACCATAAGAAATGTTTGAAAATGATAAAAAAAAAACGAAATAAAGCATACAGAAAAAGAACAACAATAAAATCTAATTAAAAGAGCCATTTAAAAACGTTTGCACAGTGTCTGATTGTACATTGAGCCTAGGTCTCAGTTCATTTAAAAAAAACATAATTTTCAAACACCAGGCAGTCAAATTTGCTTTTACACTTCTTTAAGTTGCTAAAATTATAACTAAGATCTTTAGGTGCTGAAGAATGTTTATCACCAAAGCGCTTGCCGATGGATGAACTTGCGTTCTTGTGTTCCTCAATTCGCTGGTGTAAGTGGCGAGATGTGTAACGAACATAACCTGCATTGCACAGGTCACATTCAAATTTGTAAACAAGACATTGCCGGTTGACAAGAGGTAGCTTAGCTTTTCACATTTTACAATCCCCCACTTTTTTTATTTTCGTAGGCCCACCTGACAGTCTCTAAAGTCAAAATAGAAGGTATTTGAGCAGACTGCAATAACTCTTGTAGAGTTAACACACATCTTTAGGTCTTGAGGGAGAGACAGTTGGGAGAGCAGAGGTTACTCTAAAATAGCGCGAAATTTTAAAAGGTCCACAACTTACAGTAATAAATTTATCCTGAACTAAGTGTCCATATATTGTCCAGAGTGAGGAGACAACAAAGCCTGCCAAGGACATTGAAAATGTCATAAACTCTGTACTTTTATGTTTTATAACATTTGCCTACAAAAAAGGGAGAAAAATATATACCATAAGTAAAGTCATGTCTAAAGTTTCTTGAAAACACATTGGTCCAACCTTGCATGATTGACAGCCTGTGTCATCACTTTCGTAATCTAACAACGGTTGGTATTGTCTTTGGATCGATTTAGGTTTCCAGGAAACTGCCCACCTACCCCTCCTGTAACCCAACATTTTGCCCTCAGTGAGAAGTAAGTGTTAATGTTAGCTTAAGGGAGGGGTAGGTGGGCAGTTTCCCAGAAACCTACATTGATCCCCGTCTTTGGCGCAGGCTAGGTGATTTGGGATTGACTGCCTCCAGGCTGATTAATCGAGTGTCTTCCTATTCCTCTGATAGACAACATGAGGTAGATTTACAGCAGTGGCGGTAACCAATTATTTCGTACCCGAGCCAATTTGTATGCAGATGATTCATACTCACATTTTAGATGATTCATACCCATTTCTAGTCAATTCATACACACAAATATAACAGAGTGAATACAACTCAATAACCATTTAAAAGCATGCTTCACACTTGATATAACTTATTTTTTAAGCCATAAGGAGCAATAGTGCACCAGGAATCTCATATACTTTGTTCATTAAGCCACGGTGTGCCACAAATACAGACTACAGACTTGAAGGTAAACCAGGTAAATGTTGTTAAATGCTCTAACAGATTCCCTATCCCTAGTTAGGGGATAGGGAATCTGTTAGAGCATTTAACAACAATGTTTACCTCATTTACCCACCGGTCTGCAGTCTGTGTTTAGGTTGCCCACTGATTAAGCCACAAAACAGGTGCAACACATGGAATATAAAAATTTTGCTGAACTTTTAGGAAATTTTGTGTGTCTTGTTGACTTAAATAAGTGTAAGTAATTTAAAAAAAAATTGAGAATGAGTCTACTGTAACAGGTACAAAACAACTTGGTACGCAATGACCCTAAACTGCAGTGGTAGATCCAGGCAGGGGCCCAGGAATCCAGACTCCCCACTACATTGTTACGTCAAATATTTTTGGAGGCTGGATCTCCCTCTATTCTTAGGGACTGGATGAGCAGCACTCAGGACTAGATGAGTGCCCCCCCCCCCACCCCCTGTACAGCCGACCCATTTTTCTGTAAGATTGTCAAGATCAAGTACTTTAATGGGCAGCCATTTTAGTTTTGTATGAATAGAGGGCCGGTGGCCATCAGGGCTTAGAGCGGACATGCCCAGCCCACACACCAAGCCCTAAATAGATTTAATACTCTCGAAACCAAGATGGCTGTCTGTAACTGAACATTCCTTGCATAAGGGGTCAGAATTCTCACCACAGATACAAGAGGAGATCCATACACTGCTATTGTAAATCCACTGGCGACAAACCCAAGGTGTAAAACAGCTGTGTCATGATCTCGAGTGTAATACTTTATATAAGTTAAGAGCAAACACACTCCTGCGAAAGATACCACCAATCTTTGGGAAAATACTCCCTACAAAATGAAAATAAACAGTGGAACTTCTCAAAACAATTATGGTAGCTTAAGCACGATAATAGAAAATTGTTGCATGTATTCACCAGGCCCAGTGGTAGAGCATCTGGTTACCAGAAAGTCATAGGTTCAACTCCTGTTGGGAGAACTCAGATTTTCTTCTTCTGAGCTGCCTGTGTAACTGACTGAAAAATCATCGTTCTAATGTATTCACCAGGCTCAAAATTCATCATCACATCTCTATCATTGCGCATAAGCACATATTGACATTCCAGTCCTAGCAGTATTCAATATGTTTAATTGTCACATGAACCTACAATACATGTAGTTTAGTGGCCTTAGCTTCCACGAGACACCTGTAGCTCACAGGTAGAGCATCTGAATTAGTAACCAGCCAGAGAAGGTCACAGATTCGATTCCTATCGGGAGTACTCAGATTTTTCTTCTGAGCCGCCTGTGTCACCGACTGAGAAATTTATTTTTTTAGATCTTCCTGTGATATCTGGAATGTATGCACCATACATGCATCAAAGAGAGTGTATCAAGGGAGCACCGTCCTTGATGCAGGCACAAATATTAATTGTCCACAACAAC